ACCTCTAATTCTTTATTCCACTCATCTCTTAGCATCTGCATATCAGATTGATTTATTGATACCAAATATCTATAAAAAGTAATCGTAAATTTTTTAGTTTGAGCTTAATGCTTACTATACTTTATTATAGCATTATAATATAGCATAGTAATACTATATTATAATAATATTATAACTTTCTCTGATATTATAGATAGTAAGGCTATAAATAGTTACAAGTGATAATGGTAATATATAGCCATTATCTCTGGTAACCATTTATAGCCTTACTTTATATAAACCTGCAATCCCTTTTTAAAGCCATCCAAGTTTGTTATTATCACTGTATCTTTGCATGATACTTTCCACAATTTGCCTGTATGCAATGTGAGCATTAGTCTGCAGTGAAAACAAGGGTAAAATGTGGGCATGTTTTATGTTTTTATGATTTTGGAGGGTTCAGATATAGTTCATTAGAATTAGTAACTATATACTACAATTTATGCAATGAATAATTATATATTGTTTTCATTCTGGTTTGTTCTTTTAGTGCCCTTTTGATTATACTGTTAGATTAATTAGCTGCAGATTTGTACTTCTATAGACACATTAAATGTATGTCTCATGGCCGTGTTCCCCAATCCAGCATCCAAACTGTGGTGGACCTCTGAGTTTAGTATACATAAATAGGTAAAATAAAGTAGCTCTCACAAGCTTCAAGCCTGCCCATATCTGACCTGTAAAAATTCAGTAAAGCTAACTTGGCCTTTGTTACCTATAGAGGTACAGATAGTTTTTGCTTAACAACCATTTGTTCAGTGACCGTTCAAAGTTATAACAGCACTGAAGAAGTGGGACTTATGACTGGTCCTTGTAGTTGCGGCCATTGCAGCAGCCCTGCTGTCACATGATTGCAGTTTGGGCGCTTGGCAACCAGCTTGCATTATGAAATTGCAATGTTCCGTGGTCATGTGATCACCATTTGCAACCTTCACTGCCAGCTTCCAACAAGCAGAGTCAATGAGGAAGCCAGCAGGAGGTCACAAATGGCAACCACATGACATCACACTTTACGACTGCATGGGATTTGCTTAATGATGGCAACTGGAAGTGCTGGAACTGCTGTCATAAGTCGGCACAGTCACATGACATTGTGCTTTACAACTGCGTCACTTGCTGACTGAGTAGCTGGTCCCAATTACCATTGTTAAGTGAGGACTACCTGTATATATTAACCCTGAGGTTCTAGTTTTTTGTAGCTGAATCCATACATTTGTACACCCTCTCCTTGTTTAGTGACTGCAATCTGTTCCAGTGACTTGTCATTAAGTGAAATGGAGCATGTGACTGAACATGTGGCTGAACGAGAGAGAGAGAGAGACGCTTAAAAGATCACTGGTTATTGCAGTCTCATTCAAATAAAGTTCCCTCCTACAGTGTCCTGTGCCCCATTTCCCCCCCGCCCTTTTGCCCCCTCATAGGGTGGAGGCAAGCTATCTCTTCCTGAGCTGTTTTACTCCACAGGACAGAGGTCCCTAAAAAGTGCTAACTGTAAATTAACAAGCTTAGCGGCGTGACCTTAATTAGTTGATTAGAACCCTCCAGACAGCTCACTGCCTGAAACTGACCAGACCTTCATCAGTTTGACACTGAAGGCTTTTATTGTCAGGCACAGAAAATTTGGTAGTAAATGAGTGCATTGGCCAGAAAATGAATTTTTTATTACCATTTATTACCATCGTATTTGCGAATGATCACTAACCAAGATAATCGCTAAACAGGGAGTGGATGTAATGTTTTTGATAAACCCATACAAGAAGTTTTCTCTATGCCTGGGATATCTCTAGAAGTAACAGCTCAAGACTTAGGACTCTTCCACACAGCCACATTAAACTTCTATTTTTCACAGTAGTCTTTGAGCCAGGAGAAAAGTATGTTGGCATTATATGTGCCCTCATTGCCAATCCTTATTCTGCCAACGAGGCTGGCCAATGGTACTGTTTTTACTTATATAATGTGAGCCAATTCAAGGAAAATAATCAGGGTACTCCCTGGCTTCATTTCTCTTCCTACCAAACTCACCTGTGCCGGGGCAACCACTACCAAATACTCTCCTTGATGCAGAGTGGAGTGGCGCTGGGTGACTTTAGGTGACTCTAGCCTCACTGAGGTGGGTCTAGTCCCATCAAGCTGCCCAAGCAACAGATACTTGATACACCTCCTCCATGTCTGAACCATATCAGTAGGTCTAGTTCGCTTCTGAAAGAGCACTAAAACTGTATTCAAGAATAGTCTGGCTGATAGGTGACAGGTGTGAAGGAGGTTTGTGGAGTGATGGATAATTATCAAGTTCTGTCCTTGACAAGTACAGGTAGTCCTCATTTAGCAACCCCAATTGGAACTGGTAACTTGGTTGTTAAGTGAAGTGGTCACTAAGTGAAACCATGACTGTGCTTACAAACTTACTTCAATTTTCCTTTGCTTTACAGACCTAAAAAGGTTGCAAATGCAAGGATTGGTTCTAAAGTTACTTTTTCATCACTGTCATAACTGTGAATGGTCACTAAATGAAACAGTTGCTAAATGAGGACTACTTGTATTGCAAGGAAATGTCAGTGTTAGCAGGAAACGAGAAAGAAATCCAATCCTGGCAGTACTCAGATGTAATCAATGGATGGTCATAGAGAACACACAACTATGACTTGCCCATATATAATAGCAATTGTCTCACAGCACATAATGCCACCAAAGCTGGACTACAGTAAATCGGCATCACTCCCCCACCAAGGCAATGTAAATAACTATGGTATATTGCAAAAGCAGCTATAGGAACTGCAGCTGCATGATATGTGATGGGTCTTAGGAGTGGTTAGGTGTAGAGCTTATGTGCAAGTTCCCCAAAATAATAAAAGTAGTGTAAACACTAAAAAAATACGGCCACACAAAACCCTAGTTGGCAGAAAACCTGTAATGTATCAAAATGGTGACATGCAGCTTTCAAAAGAGTACTAAACCTATGCTGATAAGGAGCCCGCAAATGATCTGTCAAGTGCTACAGAAAGCTCTGGGCGAGTGTCACATGGGCCGATGCCTCTGTGGAAGCCAGGTGTCTCCTCATTCATGTAGCCCAAGCCAAAATTACCACGGAGGGCAGTTCCCAGCAACTGGAGGAGAGAAGCCACGTCCACAGCAGTTTAAAGTAGTGAATAGAAACTGGACATGTCACAATCCCTGAGTGCATCACTTCCTAAATGATCAATGAAGTGTGCCAGATTATATCCACAGTGAAAACAGCTGGGAAAAGGGGGAAAATGACTTTTTAACACTGGAACAGCTAAGGATAACTTTAAACTGTCTCAACTATGGACTGGAGATGTGCTGAAGGCAACGTCATGAGAACAAGGCAGAAAAAAATGGTTATTGAAGTATGATTGTACTGTGATTTGGGTAAATGAGAAAAATCCACCTCTTTCTCCTGTTTTCTTTCCCTTTTCATTTTCTTTTTAGGTGTGAAAAATTCCTTGGTTACCAATGATATGGCCTTTGAGACAGTGAAGACTCCTTGGAATCCAGACCATGAGATTCGGAGAATGAAAATGGTGAAAAAGGTCTTGGACACAGAAGATAAGGCAGCCTTCCGGCTTAGCGATAAGATGCCAAGATACATATATTTTGCAGCAAACAGCACAAATAAGTGGGGCCATAAGCGTGGCTACCTGATCCAGACAATCAGCTTTGCTGGGGATCATCTCCCAGAGACAGATCCAATGGAGAGAGCCATCAGTTGGGGCAGGTAAGAATCCATTTCTAAGCATCAGCGTCCAGTGCTTTCACATATTTATTTATTTACTTGCTTGATTTAAATGGGGCTTTTCTGTTCAAAATGAACACTCTGGAAGGCTTACAGTTTAAAGCCATGCACACATATACAGAGTACAAAAAATTAAAACAGGTAATTAAAAAGTAATTAATTGCTATGTCTTGATGAAAGAGATAGTTTTACTAGTTTTCTAAAGGCAGGGAGATCTGGAGCCAAATGCAACTCCAAGGTATATTCTAGAGCAGTGTTTCTCAACCTCAACAACTTTAAGATGTTTGGACTTCAACTCCCAGAATTTTCCACCCATCTTAAAGTTGCCAAGGTTGAGAAATAGTATTCTAGAGTCTAAGAAAAATATGGAAAGTCTTTCTTCTCCATATGCCTGGTAGATAAGCCTTTGAGAGCAGAGGCATTTTCAAAAGGGCCTCTTCTACAGATATTAAGCTCTGAGTAGATCTATAATAGGAGGAGCACTATTATAGTGTCAGGTAGGCACTAAATGTCAAAGGATAGGACTATAACCACTTATGCCCAATGAACAAGCCTCTCTGGAGGAAGATGTTGTGTTGAATGCCTCCAACGAGGTGCTCATGCATCCTTTTCAGAAGACGCCTTCTCTGAATTTGGCTATATTAGACAATAATCACACCGTCTCCAATGTTCCCTTTTTAGGAAAGTTTATTAGAAGATGCATTGCTTCAGCTACAGAGTATCCTAGATGAAGATTATTTAGTCCCTTTCCATTCAGAGTTCATCCCTAGGCAAAGAATAGGAATGGCCAGGGAATTCTGGGAGTTGAAGTCCACACATCTGAAAGTTGCTAAGTTTGAGAAACACTGCTGTAGTGGATTACCTTTGTAACCTAGATAATGCCCTCTTCCTAGTACTACATGACCTCACAATGGTGTTTGATTGTATCAACCATAATAACTTTCTGTAACACCTGCAATCTTTGGGGAATAGGGACAATACTCTGCAGTGGTTCTGCTCTTTCTTAAGTGGTCAGTACCAATGAGTGGTACTGGGGAAAGAGAGGCAGGTCCTCCCTTGTAGTCCTGTAAGGATCAGTCTTCTCCCTGTTAGTCTTTATCATCTACGTGAGACCATTGGGAGAGGTATCATTAATATGCATATACCTAGTTGTATATTGCCATCTTGATTTGGGCCAGAGATGCTGTGGAAGTCTTGACCTGGTATTTGGAACCTGTGGCATGGCAAGAAGCGAGCTGAAGCTGAACCCTAACAGAAGAGAGGTATTGTTAGTCCACAAACCATGTGGCTGGCTGGCTGCTGTGGTGTTAATTCTGGATGGGGTGGAACTCCCTGTGAAAGAGAAAGCCCACAACCTGGGAGTCTACCCAGACTCATGGCTTCTGCTGGATTTGCAGATGGAGGCCATGGCCAAGGCAATGGTAACTCATGCTGTCATTAGGCTACTGAAACAGATTTTACATGTGACTGCCTTTGAACACTATTTGGAAACTGCAATTTGTGCAGAAGGCGCCTGTCCACATACTGACAGGTGAAAGCCACCACACCCATGTGACACCTATACTGTACTGCAGGAATTGCATTGGCTTCCAGTAGGTTCCTCGGTACAATTCAAAGTGCCAGTATTGATCTTTAAAGTCCTACATGGCTTTACTCTCAGGTGCTCACAAGACTGCTTTCTCCAGATAGAACTGATCTATCCAATATGCTTCTCCCAGCTGGGGCTGCTGAAGATTCCCCAAATATCAGAGGAGGCCCAGAGACATTGTTGCTTTGCAGAATAGACTCCCCGCTTAAGTCCAGTTGGTACCAACCCTGCCATGTTTTTATAAAGTTGCCACGACAGAGCTGTTCCATATGTTCTTTGGGAATTAATCTCACTGGATTATTGGATTGTAACCAGACTATTTGAAACAATAGTTTCTTATTTTTATTGTTTTATTACTATAGCGTTACAATTGTTCTGATGTTATCTATATTTTATTGTTTTAATGGCTTATTATAAACCACCATGAGTAGTGAGATTTGACAGTATACAAGCATAATTAATACATAAGTAGTGAATTGAGGGTCCTTGCAAAGTGGTGGTCATAGCAGAAAAAGAAATTATTGGGCATATCAGTTAATTAAAGAACCCTATACCAGTGTTCTTCAGCCTTGACAACTTGAAAATGGGTAGACTTCAACTCCCAGAATTCTGGGAGTTGAAGTCCATCCATCTTCAAGTTACCAAGGTTGAGAAACACTGCCCTATACACTATTCCTTTGTGAAATGGAGAACCACTTGCCATTGTGTGAGCTGTGTTTTCATATCTGTGTTGTACTTCTTTCTTCAACTTAATGATAAACAGTTGGATTGAGTCCATTTATGGTATTCTTTTATTCAGTGTTTTATGCATTGACACATTTCTTACACATTGACACTAGGGTAATTTTGTTATGGGTTTTATTATTATATTTTAATAATAGGATTTATTGCTATACACGTGCTATGTTGTGAGCAACTGTGGAAAGGAACATATTCAGATAAGTTCTACCAGTTTCTGGAGAGTATTCACAGTCTTTGGAGCTACTATTGGCTGTAAGCTTTAGGGAAACTTATTTCATGCCTATAGAAGTGATGAAATCATCCAAGCTCAACAATACTTTGTTTCTGTTGTTGGGGTTCTGCTTCTCAGGTACAAGCTGGCTGTCACCAAGCGAAAGGAGGAAGAACCTTTCAGTAGCAGCATCTATAATCAGAATGACCCATGGACACCTTCTGTTGCCTTTGCAGACTTCATAAATAATGAGTCTGTTGTTGACGAGGTGAGTTATTATGTCCTGAGGGAAGGAAGGGGGGGATATTTCTCTTTTTCCATGCAAACCCACACAGGGATTGGGCAGGTGTGGCCCATAACTCATGGCTGGATGCTAGACAAATCTATTTTCCCCCTCTCTTTTATATGGTTGTTTCTTGGCAGTAATTTAGTAACAGAAATGTGTGGATCCAAGAAATCTTGTTCATTTTGCTGTCTGCTCTGGCATATTTTGAAAGTTCAAAATGAATTGATAAACCATACGAAGATTGTACTTAACTTGATTTAATATGCACAGTAAAGTGGTTGTGCTGAGTGATTTAAAATTTGCTTGCAGTTTACCTCTACATTCCACTGTTAGAAAGCCTACTGTATATTGTTAGAGCTATCGAAAAAAAATACGTGTCTTAATTTTTACTTTTCTAGACTCTGTAGTATTTTATCTTCTGCTCTGTATCACATAGTATCACATCCACCTGTACTGGAAGGATACAGATCAAGAGTACTTCTTCTAACAGTTAAGCATACAATTAGCAAATCAGATTTCTTAAATTTTAAAAATGCTGATACTGCAAGAAGTCCCTAGTTGCTACATGCATTAAATGAAAATCAGTAGAACTATTATCTAGTCCTTCTGTGGATTGGGGGGGGGGGGGTTTTAAATGGTAATGGGGGGGAATAAAGAGTAGCCAATTTTTCTTGCAG